TTGTGTCAATCTCGATCATCGATCATATCTTTCACTCCACTATTAAGTCAATATAAATCGAAAACTCCTTTTCGACTTATGAGTACACCTTGGCCAAGGATTTCATCATTGACTTAATTGAATGAAACGCAGATCATAATCTCCTACTATCTAAGAGTGACGAATCCTTTATTGATCAATCACAACCTTCATACGATTCTTGACGTACCCGAACGATGTCGTATTAGCGGCCCTTTTCAGAGCAACATCCAACACCGCCAAAGTATGACTGTCCTCATATAAGGTACCATGACGACCTCAAGTCAAAGGACCAATTTCACTACCGAACGTTAGAGATTAACCACCGACACTCAGATAGTTATCCATGTGGAATCTCTCGACGGGTCTCCAATGTTTTGTTCTATAACAAACATCCACGTGTTCATTTAAGTGTCACCACACTTTAACTTGTGAGATCAGCCACTTACTTCACAAGTAAGAAATGCCACACGTGATGGTCTATCCGTAATAACGATATCCGTATCTCGTTATTACTTACGACCACGGATGATTTAAGATTCAATCAGATGTAATTTGTATCTCACAATCACAACTCCTTGTGATTAATAAATTACAAATATTTGAATCTACGGACTCTATTATTTATTTAATTGTCTATTAATTAAATAATAGATCTGCCATTTAATTGCATTAATTATATATAAAAGTATTTATGTCCAAAGTCGATTGGACCTAGGGCATATTACTTACACAGATCACGACTGGTTTTGAAAATTTTTAAGCTCTAGGTGATAAGTTATCATGAGGCTCATACACATAATTTTTTTACAAGCATATTGGCATCAAACATGGCCGAATCAAATGGTTTCTCATGATCAGAAATATTATACCTTTGATACACATCATTTGATTGGATCGAGAATCAATTTTCGTTTTCAAGAAGTATAATATAAAGGTTTTATGAAAATCAGTGATATGGCCCGTACCGTATGGAGATGGTGTCTACTATTTATTATTAAAAATATCTTATATTTAAAAAAAAAAATTCAAAAGCAACAATAAATTGAAAAACATTATTGGTAGAAAGGCCCCTGTTTTATTTGCACTACCATAAATTATCTATCTAAGAAAATTGAGGAAATTCCATAACAGTTATTTTTGGGCTTCGGAAAACTTTTTGAGGCCCCATTTCATCCTAAGGCCCAAGGCCACCAAGGCAGTGACCTTGGTCCAAAGTCGGCCCTGCTAGAGATCTGATAGAAGTGGTTGTCATGATTTTTGTAGGTATTAGATTGGATCTAGTGGTGACGATTTTGTTGGTGTTGGTGGTGATGGTGATGGTGGTGGTAGTGTTGTTTTGGTGGTAATGGCGGGGTGAGGGTGATTGCAAGTGGATGTGGTTACAGCAGCTGTGGTGCCCCTCCAATAGGGGGTCGCCGCATAGGCCCCCTATTTTTTGGCCTGGCCAAACAGGTTTATGCTTCCGATAATATTCGAAAAACTCACACTCAATCAGCAAACTGTCAGAGTCAAGACACTGCCACCATTCCCTCTACGCTTCAAGTCTGATGGAACTTTCAAAATCCTATGGGTGTAATAATATTTTTCACCAAATATGATCATGAATTTCATATATTTAATTTTCCGATGTAAATAAAATTGTGGGTTTGTTGGTAACTTTGATTTTTGGTTGGGTATTGGGTTGAAGCTGGCTTTTTTCATAGGTGGCTGACATGCATTTTGGGAATGGCATGGTGACTCGATGCAGAGACGTGCGGGAGAGTGAGTTAGAGGTATGTTCTGATCTCTACACCACACGATTTCTTGAAAAGATTATTCAACTGGAGAAGCCTGATTTCGTTGCTTTTACTGGTATTGTAATGTAAATCTACTATGCTTGACTGGTAATAGAACACGTAGTCCTTTTAATGATTTGAATTTCGTAGCTAATTTTCGATCAGTGGAGTCTCTTGCTGCTGGAACGATAGCATTTCTTTTCGCATTAGGAGACGTGGTTAGTTCAATGAGAGTGCACGGAAAATGGTTGTAGTACTATGTGAGAAACTACTGTATCAAGAGAGAGAACTACAAAACTTTTATCTGCAATTTAGCACTTCGATTGAATGATGGAAACTATAATGCTATTCATTGTTATGTGATGATCACTCGGTGGCAGTAAGCCATCTAATTCATTGTCTAGAGCATTAAAATTTATCACAACTCCGTTGGACAATGAATCAGGGCCCACATCCACTAGACATGTGATGATCAATACAAATGATAAATAGCTTTATTCGAATGGAAATAGATGATCACGGTAGTGGTATATACCTTTTTGGACGTTGATACTTGTTCAAAAATCTGGTTAGTGCACAAACACAAAGTAGGAGATTGATTGGCTTAAAGTAGGTGTATGATGTGTTTCAACTCTTTCTGCACCGCGAAGATGT